TCTAGGTTTTATTCCTGGCTGGTTGTGCAACGTTGGGCAAGCCATTTAACTGTCCTGTGCCTCAGTTTACCCACCCCTACATCACAATGGCAATGCATACCTATCTTATGAGGACATAGTAAGTTTGGTTAATAATATTTCACTTGTCTAAAGAAGTAGTGCTTTATAACCATTCATGGAGTCTCATGTTACCCCAAGGAAGTATTCACCCAGCTATCTTACAGATAAGGAAACCGAGGCACTGAAAGGTTAAGCGACTTATCCAAGGAAGTCTGTGGCAAAATCATGAGAAGAACCCAGAAGACTCCCTGCTCTATCCATAGGCTCAGATGTATTTTGAGATATTTGGATGACAAGCACTACAGACTGCAAGTTAGTCTTCTCCTATTTACTGCACTGATCCCAGCATACCTCTAAAACCTACACTACCCACTTCCAGATACATACCTTTACTTCCATCCCCCTCAACCCTCCAACTAGTCTGTATAGTTAATGTAAATAAATCTTTTATTCAATGGCTTCCCAGAGACAGATGTGCTCAGAAAGCCTCTCTCCAACTAGAGTTGGCAAGTCTGGATGCATTTGATGGGAGAAGTTTGCTTCTGAGATTTCAGAGAAGTTTCAGATACAAGCTTTTCCCCGCTCTTCTCCCTCCTCCACCTGCAGTTTTATATTACAATAGCTCTTCGCATAGGCACGGACTCCAGGGGTGCTCCGGGGAAAAATTGATGGGTGCAGAGCAGCTCCCCACCCCACCCCAGGCCACCTCCGCTCTGCCTCCTCCCCTGAGCGCGCCGTGTCCCCGCTTCTCCTCCCAGCACTTGCCACCGCAAAATGTTTCGCTGCAGCAAGCGCTGGGAGGGAGGGGGGAGAAGGGGGAACGCGGGGCGCTCCAGGAAGAGGCGGGGCCGGGGCAGGGATTTGGGGAAGGGGTTGGAATGGGGGCGGGGCAGGGGCAGAGTCGGGACGGGGCGCTGGGAAAAGTTGGCACCTATGGCTCTTAGAAGCCATAGCCAAGTTCAGGGCTTTGCTGTGCTAGGCTCTGTGTAACATTTTAACTAATGGTCCCTATGACAAAGAGATTACAATATAAATAGGTAAGACAGAGGGGAATCAGAAGCACAGAAAGGTGCAGTGACTTACTCAAGATCAGTAAATTATTGGCCTAGGCAGCCTGACTCCTACTCCAGTGGCCTTATCCAGACCAGCCCCCTGGCCTCAATCTTACTCATTAGCACCTTAACAGTAATCTATCAGTTGCATTGGGCACAAGCCTCAAATTAAAACTAGCTCACTTTTTAAAGTTAAATGATATACACCATCCACTGAATTCTCTCCCCAGCCTCCACAAATACCAGGCTCTTGTTCCTCCATTGTTAGCAATAATTTCCACCTCTCTTCATTTGAACTGACTATTATTTGGTAAACTCTGTTTTAGGGTTTTAAATCTCCAGTGATTTTGCAGCTTAAGTCATCTTTGGTATTAGAGCAATACGTGGAAAACATACAATTCCAATTAATCAACCTTGTATTTGCTGCCAGTCCACTCTGTTATGTTAGTTTTATCTTCTCACTAGTATAAACCAACCATGAATTACCTTTTCCTCATCATTAGAGTTTTATAAATGACTAATTGTTCACTGTAGCACAGCCAATTTTAATAGATTAGATCTATGACTGTGTTTAATTACAATCCAATTAGGATCTGTGGCAATAATCTTGAGAACAAGTGTCAGGTCCCTTAATATGTATTTACCCAGGATCCATTCTAGCCTCCTCAGCAATGTATATATTAGGAGTTTGTGTTTGGAGTTGTTTAAAAAAATGTAATGCTGAGAAAAAACTGGTGCAAGCAAGATAGGAAATTCCATGTTCAAGCTCACAAGTCAAACCTATTGTGCGGGGTTAGTCATGGCTTAGACTTTCAGTTATTATCAGCTTGTGCTACATAGAACCCTTTAATGTTAAGCAGGGAAGGAGGGTTTTTTGGTCTTTAACTCAAAGAGATCTGTGTTTATACTCTGGCTTCAATGTCTGGTTTCTGGAGACAGCTCCCATTACAAATAAATATAAATTCTATTGGGGCAACTCTCCATGATCATGCAATATATGTAATGATTTACCCCTGTGCAAAGCGGATGCAAGACACCACCATATCAGTAGTAATTGATTACACCCTGCAAAGCCACACAAAGGTCTCTGATCTATACATCCTGATGAAGACAGCCAAAACCTAGCCTTTCACAGTCTTTTTGTACTTCCCATAACATGTTCGAAAGTTATTTTTATTTGGAAGGCACACAGCTTATCAGCATTCCCAACAGCACTGCTAACTCCAAGCCAAGACCATTAGAACAGTGGTCTCCAAACTTTTTTTGATTGCGCACCCCTACCAGTAAAAAAATTTGAACACGCACCCCCTGCCGCGCCAGCTCTACCGTTTTTGCCGCTCGGGGAACTGCCGAAGCAAAAAAAAAAAAAAAAACCGCCCCGACCCCCCCCCCCCACAACAACAAAAAAAAAAAAAAAAAAAGCACTCCTCCTGCCGCGCACCCCCATGGATCCTCTTGCACACCCCACTTTGGAGACCACTGCATTAGAAGACAGAAGTAACTTACACCTACTCCACCGCCACCACCCTGACACTCCAAGATCTACTATAGATTGTCCACTCCTTTGAACACTCAAGTTTTAGGTGTGCTAACAGCCATTAGGAATAATAGGGGTGTAATCTAATGCATCTAATCATTTCCTTTAGTTAAAATATGTTTTCAGCACACCAGAGACCACACTGTATAATAAACAATTACTGATCTTTGGAGTGTGTGTCGGGATTTGACCTTAAATTAAATGTTATTAACCCCTGCTCCCATCCCAATATATAGAAATAATATAGATGCATCTTTGCAAAAGGTCAAATGGAAACATCTTTTAAAGACACCTTTTCTCTTTCAGTGTTGGCAACCCCAAAATTGCAGCCTTCTAGCCCAACAGACTAAAACATACTCTGATGAGAAAATGAGTCTCATTGTCCAACCAGAAATGCAAGAGGCAGTATAAACTGATTGGATTTTTACCTTTGCTCCCACTGCATCAGCGATCTGAGATATTCGCAGGCCACAACCCATGGAAGGAAACCTAAACATGCACTAACACAAAGTTTACAGCCTCTCTTTCAAAAACATGCCAATTCTCAGTTAGGTACACCTGGTGTCTCACAGCCTCACAACATGGAATAGCCTTCCCAAAAAATTAAAGGTCACCAGGCAAGACATTTAAAGTAGTTTTTAAATATAAACACAAGACATGAGAACACAGGAGTTGGAAACAACACATTCTTCCTACATCAAAAACATGGTGAGAGAGTGGCAGGGATAGATCACACAACAAAAAACATGTTAATACGTGACCTTTGCTAAAGTTTTAAGACACTTAATTGAAAGCAGGCTTGGAAGGATTTGAGTTTTTTCCCAGTAAATGCTGATTTCACTGAACACACACAAACCGACAAAAATATTTCCCTCGCTGATCCTCAAAATTCACAGAGAGGCAAAGCAAGAAAAATGCTGCTAGAGAACTTATTAGAGTTTGATTTAAGGATATTCCAATCAAGGCTGGCTCCAGGCACCAGCCAAGCAAGCTCATGCTTGGGGCGGCAGATTCTACGGGGCGGCATTCCGCCCAATCCGATGGCGGCACGGCCGCTTTTTTTTTTTTTTTTTTGGTTCGCTGATCCAGCCGCCCTGTAGGGGGCGGTGGCGCGGAGGAGGGGAGTGCCCTGCTGGGAGCGGGCTGCGCACTCTGTCTGCCCCAGCCAATGCCAGGTCTGTAGTAAGCCCGGAAGGGCAGCCCGTGTCCTTCCCTCCCCGCCGACCGGAGCAGCGCGGAGCCCTCCCGGCAGGCCATGAGGCGGTCGGGGCCACGTGGCGAGCGCCCCGCTGAAGCCCTGGCCGCCCCCCCCTCTCTCTCTCTCTCCCTGTTCACCCCTCCCCCCCCCGGTAGCTGGGGCATGTCTGCAGTGCAGGGAGTCCCCCTGCACCCTGGCTCCGGCTGCCCCGCAGGGTTGTTTTGTTTTTTTTCCTGCTTTGCCGCTCCGGCCGTGCGGCAGGGTTTGTTTGTTTTGTTTTTGCTTGGGGTGGCAAAAAAGCTAGAGCAGGCCCTGATTCCAATTGTGTATTTTGACCTGGGGCACTGACTCCTTGTCTTTTAAGGTTAACGTTTTAACTTTTGGAATCTGCTGCCAGGCTTAGATGTTCAGCTTGTGCCACATACAACCCTTTAATGTTAAACAGGGAAGGAGGTCTTTTGTCTTTAACGCAAAGGGATCTGTGTTTATACTCTGGCTTCATAAGGACTCCGGTGCCCATAGGTGCTGGAACTAGGGGGTGAGGTTTCCATTATATCCAGGGTTTACAGCAGGGGTTCTCAAACTGGGGGTCAGGACCCCTGAGGGGGTCACGAGGTTATTACATGGGGGGGTCACAAGCTGTCAGCCTCCACCCCAAACCCTGCTTGCCTCCAGCATTTATAATGGCGTTAAATATATAAAAAAGTGTTTTTAATGTATAAGGGGGGGGGGGTCGCACTCAGAGGCTTGGTATGTGAAAGGGGTCACCAGTACAAACGTTTGAGAACCACTGGTTTACAGTTTGCTTCAATGGCTCTCAGCACCCCCACTATACAAATTGTTCTGGTGCCCCTGCTGCCTCCCTGTGCCTTTACCTGTCTGATGCCCTCCCACAAGTTCCTGCAAAGTGTAAAAAAAAATTAAACGTATAAAAATAAAAAAGTTTTAAAACCAGACATCACCGTATCTGCAGACATGGCACCAAACCGGGCACTCGCATTGCGCCCAGCCCAGCTGTAAGCAAAGTCCGGGCGACTAATTGATCAAGGCGTTGGCTTCTTTTCCCCACCCCACGTGGAGCAGGTTTCGCCCCAGGGAGAGGTTTGGGGGAAGGTGCCGCCTCTGCCCCCGTCCGCGGGGAGCAGGTACTCACACATCAGGGTGCTGAAAGCCGCCGTGGCCAGCAGGGCTTGGACGAGCACCCCGAGCCTGCCCAGCAGCGCCCCGCTGTTGCAGCCGTGCGGCGGGATTTTCACTGGGGTCCCCAGGAGCCCGGTCTCGGTCACGGCGACGGGCCGGGCGGGGCCCGGAGCGGGCTGCGGGGAGGCAGGGAGAGGCATCCTGGCCGGCTCAGTGCAGCGCCGAGCGCCGCCGCCGCTGTTGCGTCCTGTGGGGGAGCGAGCGGCCCCTGCCCGGGGGCGGATGTAGCTTCCCCGGGGAGGGGTCGCCAGGGACTGGGCTCAATGGGCGGCGGGCTCCAGTGTGGACACGCCCTGCCCCTGCCCGGCCAGGCTGCGGGAGGAGGGAGGGGGCTGTTCTGGAGCGTGGGGAGGGGCCGGGTGGGTCATTCTGGGCAAGGGGG